TTTCCCTGCAAGAACATAAACAAATATGGCCGACGATTCGAAGATCAGCGTTGTATGTGTTTAACTATTTCAGTCATGGTTTTCAACATGGCGTCTCGTCACTTACTCAACATGGAAAATAAGGGATATTCTGGCGCGTTGGGAACTTTTTTGATGGGATGAAATGGCAATTTTACAGGATATTTGGACGCTTCGAACTCTGTAGCAGTCAATTCGATCGAGAGCAGTTGACTTTATTGATGCACTTTCCTGTAATAGGCGAGTGTTTGGGATGGAGAACGACGGATTTTGAAGAACTATATGGCGGCCTTGGTCAATGATCAATGACAAAAGAACTGGCTCGGGAAGTAAGTGGTTTTTATTTATCGAGTCCCTGTGAGGTTTGATGAATAGCAGAATCAGTACTGAATATGTCTCGATCGAGAACAGACGGGACCATGAGCTCCTGATTGTTATATTTTAGAAATTTTACAAATTTCCATACAGTTTCTTATATTATTTGGACGCATTATGGACGAAATGCGCAAGCGCGGCCACCATCTTGTCCAATATTTCTGCCGATGAGAAAGTTGAAAAATCATCATCCCGACGCACTCAGATAACACTTTCAGTAGTAGGTATAGTTCTTTCGCTAACTGAACTTCAGTATAAAAGGAAATAGGTCATGGCTTTCGTTAAAATAACCATTCGTAGAAACTGAAAATATTTGTAGCCAGTCGGAGACCAATCAGGTGAAGATGAAGACGTGCTCAATACCACTGTTAGTCGGAGACATACCATAGTAATTATACGAATGGATTTATCTCCATGCGACTAATGCAAACAGAGTCTTTTCACTTATGAAAAAACTAAACAAGTCTAAGGCAACTGGCCTGGACAGAAAATACCATGCAAACATCAGTCGGGTTTTCGTGCTACTCACTCAACTGTTGCAGCTTTGCTTAAGGCAATTGACTCCTGGGCATATCATATAGCTTGATATAGACATTGGACAATCAACGAAGTTATTTTCTAGATATAAAGAAAGCTTTCAATACCGTTCCCCTGACAACATTCTCCGATCTAAACTTGACCTTCATGTTATATCTAGGAATTCATTAAAATGTTTTCAGTCGTATTTGGAGAACGGTACACAACAATGCTCTGTGGTGAGTCCTTATCTGAGAGCCGTGTACTAACTTGCGGTGTCCCTCAGGGGACTATCCTCAGTTTATTATACATAAATGACCTTCCAAAGTGATTTTTAAACGGTGAACCGACGATGTCCGCCGATGACACGCATCTCACATATGCAAATAATGAGGTAGACAGCGTTGAATCATGTCTTAGTTAGGACATATCAAATGTGCATACTTGGCTAAACGCAAACAAACTTACCAAAACCGAATTTATGCTGATGGGATCTGGCCAAAGGCTAAATACCGTTACTGCTTCCTCGTCAGTCACAATGGACGGTACTCAGGTGGAACAGGTTGTAACAACAAAACCATTTGGTGTAACAACTGACGACAAACTCAGCTGAAATGTTCACTTCGAAAAACTTACCAAAAAGACCTTTTCTGGAATCATTTGTGTGGAGGCAAGGAAAAACGTTGGGTTATTTCTCGACTCATCGACTGTCATAAACAAATTGCTGGCC